CTTTCCTCACTGGGAGGGGAAAAGTGCTCCACTCCCTTCCAAAGGAAGAAATAGACTCAAAGAATCAGAACAATTGAGCTAGAAGGGGCCTAGAAGGCCATCCAGTCCAACCCACTGCTCAAGGCAGGAAGCAAAATCAAAGTGGATCTGACAGAGGGCTGTCCAATTTTCTTTTGAATGCCTCCAACGTTGGAGTGCTCAAGTGGGATTGCTGCTCTGGGAAACCTCAAAAGAGGTTTCCTGAAACCAGAAGTGAAATTTCCCATCCCTTAGAGTTTTGTGATAGGGGAGCGCAGCCCTTGACATGTCTTGAGGTGGGTTGAATGGACAACTGGCGCTTAGCCACAGCTGTCCTCCATGGAAAAGTAGATGCCGCAGTCCCACTTGTGTGTGAATTGGCAGATAGGAAAGCAAATATATGAACTGTTCAGAGATGTTCTGTTAGTACCTGTCCAGGTTATGAAAAGGTTATCTTGTTTTCTGAGCTCATAGTTAAGAAATAAACAACTGTCAACACCTTTCATAGCTGGTTGGATAGCTCAGTGGTTTAGATATGCGGCTGTGGAACCAGAGTTAAGGAGTTTGATTTCTCACTGGGCCTCCTGCAAAGGAGAGCCAGCCTGGGTGGCCTTGGGCAAGCTGCACAATCCCAAGATGTCTCCAGAAGAAGGGAAGGGTCAACCATGTCTTAGCAATCTCTGCCCGGAAATCCATGAAAAGGGTCACTATCAGTCAGAACTCATTTAGCAACACATCATTATTAACACCTTCCACTCCTTGGCCTCATCCTCTTTTAACAAGCTAACGCCTCTCCATACCAATCTCTGACAGTGAACCTTTGTGCCTTTTTAACATTTCAATCCTTAGGAGATGCTGTCCTTTATGGAAAGATTTAATGAAGAGGAGAAGGCGTTCTGGCCTGTTCTGACAAGAAAAGTGACAGAGCTGAATGAAGATCACCTCAGGATGAGAGAAGCGTGGGGCAGCCTCACCTCTCAGGTCACTGGGGAGCTTCAAGAGATTTGCAATGTAGATTGTTGACAGTCGCTTCCTGTTTGTGTTGGGTGGCCTGCAGTCATGGGAATGCATCTTCTTGACCCCGAAACGTGGTCAGCCTTGTATTACAGCATGCAGTCCGTTCTACACTACAGGTGTAGAACAAAGATGAGCTCTTGGTTGATTACAGTGGTGCCTCGCTTGACGATGTTAATTCGTTCCAGCGAAATCGCTGTAGAGCGAAAACATTGTCAAACGAAATAAAAAAACCCATTGAAACACATTGAGAACCGTCCAGTGCGTTCCAATGGGCTGAATACCTGCTCGTTCAGTGAAGATCTTCCATACGGCGGTCATTTTTGGTGCCTGTAAAGTGAGAATCCGTCCTAGAAAACAGCGGGGGCCCATTTCCTTCAGCCAGTGGCCATTTTGAAACCCGACAATCAGCTGTTTGCTGATTGTCGTAAAGCGAAAATCAGTTCCTGAAGCAGGGGACCGATCATCGATAAACGAAAAAAAACCATTTAAACCCCAAAAGCAATCACAAAAACCTAATTGTACAGCAATTTCCTTGTCAAGCGAGGCAATCGTTAAGCGAGGCACAACTGTATAGGGTGGCTTGAGTAGATCAGCAAGTCTTCCCAGTTTCCAATTTAATTGTAGCAACCGGTGGTGGGGCATGGGGGAAGCTTGTACGAGGAGCAAATGTGAACCCATGTGAACTGTGCATCTAAATCTTGTCTTTTTAGATCAGTGAATGGAAAACTAAGCTGGACCGCTTGTTGCCTCCCCCTCTGGATGCCATGGAATCCTGGCTTCAAGAGATGGAACACGAGCTGGCAGGGGATCTACCAGATTCACAAGATCACAGCAAAGCAATGGCTATCTTGGAAGGGAAAATGACATCTGTCCAGGTTGGTTAGTGAAATGCAATATACATTTGAATTAGAACTTGTGAAAGTTACCTTTTGGGACTGTTAATTTCCAGAATGCTTCCACTACAGTATATGTTTTTAGGAGTTGTAGTTCAAAACGTAATTTTTCCAAGCTGTCCTTTCAATACACAGGCGTTGCTCTATTTCTCTCCTTCCATCTCTTTTTCCTCGCACTTAACACCAGTACTCTGAAATAAGCAAGGGCTGAGATGGCTTTTTATGCCTCTGCAGAGCATTCTGTTTTTATTTATATCAGAATGATGCACAATTTTAAATTATGGATGTATATGAAATCTAGGTAAAATTAAAAACAAATTAAAGTGTTAATATAATTAGACTATTTTTGACCAGAAGCAGGCTACTTCAATACTGTAGTGTTATCTCAACCATATGCTAGATCTTCTTTTGTACATGGCGTGGGGCGTCAACTGTATTCATGTAAGTGCTGCATTGATTGAATTTCTCCACAGTCCCAGAAAATGTGTCCTATATCCAAACCCCCGTTTTACTAGATTATTCTTTGATCTTCCTACTATGCCTCAGAGTTTGTTAAGTGATTTCCAGATGTTCCAGCTAGAATCTTCTCCTGCTGGGGCAAGACTCCAGCTGGACCACTTAATAAATCATCCAGATGCTGGACAATCCAGAAGCCCGCTGCAGATAAAGTGATGTTTGTTACGGTGTGGAAACTTCTTACTGCTGTGAAGCTCATACCTGACCATGGATTATTCATTTTTAATGTTTTATTTTGATGTATAAAAAAATAAGACAAAGATTAGCAATAGCACAACAGTAGAAATAGTATACAAAACAGTACAGCAGAATTACCGCACAATGTTCTAAAATGAGCAGCTAAACTTGGAATTATTTCAAACAGGATGGCATCTGTTCCAAGTAATGGTTTTGCTGCAAACATTTTTTTCTTCCAGTGTATGCAGTATGCTTTCATGTTGCATAGAAATGACCATTAAAAAAACCCCATTGACTTTGATGGACCTGGATGGGAAACCGCAGCTTGTTAAGTT